TTAACGAGTGATTGCCGCTCAGCCCAGCAAGCGCTGAAACTGCGAAAAACAGCAAAAGAAGGCCACACCAGCCACAACTTTTATCGAATGCCGCTTCACAAGCGTAAGGGTGCTTGCATGACAGGTTTCGATGAAGAAAATATCTCATCATGATAGTTTGATAATGAAACTCATGACAACGCGATATCCGAAGGTGACCGTTACTCATAAAACTTACAACTGCTTGAAAGGAAACGTCGAAGGCTACGAAGTTACGAATGACAAATCGAAAAATTGTTCTAGAGGACCATGTTAAATCAAACCATTCGCACACAATTCGGCCGTCTCCAAGCCTAGCTTACGCAAGACGACGACCTGGGGCCAGGGTAACAGTACAACGAACCACCTACCTTATTGTATCTTTCTGGTGGTATGTGTGCAAGAATAATGGGATCCATGGTTGTGACGTTGCCGAATTTCACTTCTGGAATATAAAGAGCGCAGACAACATGAGCCCATGCTAAAAAGAGAGCAAATCAGTAACTCATGCTATTTCAAGGTACGCACGGGAAAGAAAACCGAACAATCATCATGCCGTAAAAAATGAAAGTGAAAAGGAGGAGCAAGCGGAGAAGAAAGAGGAAGAAGATTATGATGAAAATGAAGTATAAGAAAAAAAAAGCGGACAGTAGTTTGGGTCTTTTTGGCAACTACTCCACTGTACTTAGGACAAGGAAGGAGGAACACGGAACAACTCGACTGAGAAATAATACTGATGAGGTCTCGCAATGATTAGAGTGCAAAGCTTGCATCATCTCAACGTTTCATCATCACCAGCCAACGGAAAATACACGAATTTGAAAAAGAGGAGTGAAAAAAATGTTTCTGATGCGTATGTTCGTACCAGCATCATGCTAAAATCCATAACATTCGCTTAGTAATCGACCGAAATACGCAGATGGTCTGAATTTTTATTTAAAATATATGGTTGAATGAGTACGAACGAAACTAATTTTGCATTGCATAGCAAAAACATTTTGCGAAGAGAACAAAAGAACAGTTTACAGACAGCCAGCGTACTACCCATGTCGCTTGAAACAAGATACAGAGATCACAGGAAGAGATAAATACACATAAATATATTTATCTTACCACCTCTGACACGAGCTGAAATAAACGGGGACTAGCAAAACCACTTGTACTTTGTGGATCGATATTCTGATCATCATAAAGTCACCAGAAGAACTGCAAGAAAGAATGAAAGAGCCGAACAACGCAAAAATCAAAGCAGGTCAAGTCAGGTGTAACAAACACAGGACCGACCAATTACCTGCTGAAGTTAACGGACTTACGCTTGAAGAAGTGCAAACCCTGTATATCTTGAAAACCATACCTCTGCAAGGGAGAACCGACACTGCAAAATCTACAGAAGAATACAAATGGCATGAAACATTTTTGGAACATTGAAAATGCAGTTGTGTTTGAAACGGAAAATATTCGATCAGTGTGTGTTCCCAGTGTTAACCCGTGGCTGCAAAGCGTCGATCCTAAGTCTGAATGCTATCTATAAACCGCAGATCACGGAATACAGCATGGAAAAGCGTACTTCGTGAATCAGAAGAAAAGAATTAAAATTAATTCTTAATTATTCTTATTAATTAATCAAAAGAATACATAAAAATCAGTAAGACAAAAGTTTGCAATATTACTGTGCACAATCGAAGAACTTAAAATGGCGATGGACAGGGGACACTTCCGCAAGAACAGATGAACATAAGACCAAATAGATACTATACTGGGCTATAAGAGAGA